ACTGGTCCTTATAAGAATGGAACTGAGAATACTTATGATTATCGTTTCATGGCTGGACTATACCTACTGGCAAGAATAATCATTNTGAGTCAATTCATTTTTGGACATTATTTTATGTTTTCAATACCAATTTCTCAAGCTTGCTGCTCCTTCTTACTAGCAGTAATAGTTATCATCTTTCGTCCTTTTCAAAGAAATATTCATAATTTTGATGAGTTTTTAGTTATGTTTTTTCCTATATGGCACTTGGATGTACAAATATTGTTACCTCTTTTTTACTCCCAACGTTGGATAGATCTAGTGATCTAGATCTATTAATAATTGTGATTCTTGTAATTGTACTACCAATTGCCAATGGTATATTCTTTGTCATTGTTATACCAGGTTATATAATCTACCAGGTATACAAAATGATAAAATCATGTCATCGTTATCATAAAAGAAATAATCCAGTGGCTAACAGAAATAAAGAAGAAGACCATCAGCCATTAGTTGGTAATGATGATGATTGGATTGCTGATCATATGGAGAATCCACAAGAATATGATGAACAACATGTTCCTGGTAAAATATATGAGTATGATAGACAGCCGCAGCAACAAAAACCCAATGAACCCATTACTATTGCTACAGCTGCTACTTATGGCAGCTGCAGTGAAACTACTATTTGATTTATGTTAACTGCTGAATATTGTACTGATAATGATAGAATAGGCTAATAATGAAATTAATATTTTAAGCTATTTTTTAAATTTTTTGTGTGATTTTTTGCTAGATTTGCTATTCCAATTGTGATTAATGTTCAGTTGGAGGATGTGACAATTAAATTTGATCTGATCTACTTTCCTATAGAGTGCATGTCTCACTGTGTACATGTACATGTGGTCAAAATAAATTACTATAAATAAAATTTTTTAAATGGTCATATCTAAAAAAATTGGAGTCGAAATCAGCTCAAACTTTCTACACTGCATAAGGACATCAACATGTATCAGAAATTGTAATAAAAATTTGGGGTCATTTTTGAGCCATTTTTTGGAAAAAGCATCAGCTGTAAAATACTGGGTATTTTTCAGGAACTGGCACATTTTAAAAAATAGACATAACTAAAAAAGTTAGTCAGAGTCACCTCAAACTCATACGTTACATTTAAATTATGAGATCTACACTTATATTCTATGCACATAGTCTTGTGCCCCGCCCCTTTGCTTTTGGAGGAAAGGTCTGGAAACACTCACTAGCTGTCAGTGGCTGAAGGCTTTTTGTTGCATGCTGGAATGTAATTACTGCATAGGCATAGGAATGGGGGAGGCTGAAGCCCCTACCAACACTTTATATACTCCTTTATCCATTCAAATGGTTTCATAAGTTATTGGATCATTTACATTTGAGGAAACAGCTACTGATATCACTGGGTGATGTGTTTACTGGTCCTTATAAGAATGGAACTGAGAATACTTATAATTATCGTTTCATGGCTGGACTATACCTACTGGCAAGAATAATCATTTTGAGTCAATTTGTTTATGAATATTATTCCATATTTTCAATACCAATTTCTCAAGTTTGCTGTTCCTTCTTACTAGCAGTAACAGTTATCATCTTTCGTCCTTTTCAAAGAGATATCCATAATTTTGTTGAATTTTTAATCATGTTTGTAACTATGGCCCTTGGATGTACAAATAGTGTTATCTCTTTTTTACCATCAACTAGTCCACTAGATAGCATATTATTTTTGATTCTTGTAGTGCTACCAATTGTCAATGGTACATTTTTGTCATTATCATACCAGGTTATATAATCTACCAGGTATACAAAATGATAAAATCATGTCGCCGTTATCATAAAAGAAATAATCCAGTGGCTAACAGAAATCAAGAAAAAGACCGTCAGCCATTAGTTGGTAATGATGATGATTGGATTGCTGATCGTATGGAGAATCCACAAGAATATGATGAACAACATGTTCCTCGTAGAATGTATGATGTATCTGGTGAGCATCAACAACCTATTACTATTGCTACAGCTGCTACTTATGGCAGTATTAATGAAGCAGCTACTGTTTGAATTACTGAAACTATTTTTTAGTTATTGTGTTAGCTACTGAACATTATTTGATTTTGTAGGCTGTATTTCTAAAACAATTTCTGGAAAATAATTTTTGAAATTGAGAAACAACACGTCTATATTGTGCAATGCGCTGAATAATAAGCATGCATAGCAGAAGAATTATCACATTTCTATGAATAGGACACGTAGTTGCCAATACAATGCAATATAAATGAACCTCTAAAATAGGGACAGGTTCATAATCAGGACAGTAAATTATTGGGTCCCAAGGTGTCCGGAATAGACAGGTTTGACTATAGTTTATAAGTTATAACTGTATGTGCTGTGTCAATTGATTTTAGTTGAATAAGCTATATTTATTGCCATTATGCTTTAAAAATAAGTATAAGTGCATCGATATGCATCAAAAAATGTAATAAAAAATTGGGAGGGATTTTGAAGCCATTTAAAGGAAAAAGCATGGGCTATAATTATTGTTCAGATTTTTGCATATTTAAAAATTGTCACAATTTGAAACAATTTAAGTTGAAATTTGCTTAAATTTTTACTCATAAAATGTAATAAAACTTTGAGTCAATTTTTTGAATAAAAGCATGGGCTATAATAGTATAGTAGATATACAATACTATTATAGCCCATGCTTTTATCATCTCAGAATCACCTCAAGTCTCCACATCAGACTACATTTAAGTCAATAAAAGAGAGATTTATACTTATTTTATGCACATGTATTGACTTGCTAACATCAAGTGGTGTCCCAATAAAATAATGACATTGATCTAAGGACGTTCTTATCAACTTTGGTTTGATATCTAAACAATCAAATGTAGTTGTAGTTTAGGGGGTGAGACTGTTGAGTAGGTGACCCTTTCTTGAAGTATAGATAGGAAACTGAGAAAATTAATTTAGACAATTGAATCATAAATATTAGAGTAAATTTACCTATTAATTTTTTTCATTTACTCTAATATCTATATAGCAAGGCTGCAAAAGTCATGGCAGCCATTTTGTTTGGGGGCGAATCTTACTTAGTAATGCTACCACGTTACTAATAATTGAATTATACATTGTGTTGTCTTGACAACAAGCTAAAAGCTACTGCTGGGTCTCGATTGGTGTAACTACTGGTAGAATCTGAAATCCAATTAATGTTTAATATCACAATGCATGTCTGATAGTGATGTTCTTTTTTTACAATGTTACCATGCATGCATACTCCACTGAAGTTATAATTCACATACCATTGCCTATAACAATGAAATTTTTGCTGTTTAACAATAACACCATTCTTCTGCAATTGCATAGGCAGTCACCAAGGATGATTTGCTTATTTTCTAGTGATTTACTAATTTCTGTGAAAATACTAGTTTATTATTATTATTCTTATTATTATTACCAACTATAGTATAGTATAACAATCACAGGAAGAATTTTGGGGGTGTACTTGTGCTTTCATTATTGAACCAACCATCCATAACAATGATGTAGTTTTGGCCATCCATTCATAACACAATCAGTACTACTGAATCTACTATTTTTGGCAGCCCTGAATCAATGATGTCTCCTGGAGTGGTTCTTGTCTCTCTTCTTTCTCTTGTTCTAGTATATTCTGCTGCTGGTTTGGAGTGTAGGATCTATGTCAGTTCATCTCATGGTATCAACAATACCTCTTGTTGGACTGGAGGAGTTCAAACACCTTGTGCTACTATTGATCTAGCTATACAAGGAACTGCTACTCTACAATACAACTGTTCATCAGGTATCCTTATCAACCTGTCTCCTGGTACATATACACTAGACACTACTAGTCTACTAGAGCAACAGCTACTGAGGAATAATGTGAGTATTATTGGTATGAGGGATGGCAGTAGATATGAAGAGGTTAGTATCACGTGTCTACATGTTTTGTCTTCTTCATATAACTGGTTGAGGTATATTGTATTTGAATGTGTTAGTCTTTATAATTGTAACAATGTTCCTGTTACATGTACTGAACCATCCTTTGATATTACTACACACAATGAACCAGTACTGGGGGATGGGGCTGATCAAAATTATGAATTACACTTAGATGTCATTGATACATACATATCTTGTTATGATCATTACCAGAATGACAATTGTCAGTGTCATTATCTATCATTTCATGCTTATATCACTGATTCAGTTAATCAATATGATTGGAAGTATAGCTTTAATGCTTGTATTAGTATTAATTCTTCTCAAAAGCTTGATCAAAAGTGCTATACTATTTCAAAACCAAACTGTGAGTACCCTGGTGATGATAGATTTTATCAAGTAAAGAATTGTTTCAATGATTATATTAATGCTGGCCCTATTGAAGTATCAATTTACATTCAAACACTTGGTCCTATTAATATCAATATCAGTAGAACTGTGAATGTTACAGTACAATGTGAGTCTGGCAATAGAAACTGTGATCAAATTACCGGTAATTCTACTTGTGACATAGGAAGTCCATCATACAAGCTTCCTTGCATAAAGGATATATTTTCTGATTGCTGTACTGATAATACTACAGGAGAGTACTATACAGGCTGTGCATCAGACTGGGGAATACCAATGAATGATCCTGACATCTGTATTGAATGTGATGAATATGGTTTACTGGTATTTATTGTAATAGAAATATTACCTATCACAATCATGGTATTATTAATAATAATATTTAATATACAACTAACCAATGGATCTATTAATGGAGTGGTATTCTATTCACAAATAATAGTAATAAGTTATTTTGTTTATTATTATCATGTTTATTATTATGATAATGGTTATGATTATGGCCCATACCAGTATGTACCACTATTTGTAATACCATGCAATGTATTTAATTTAGATTTCACTCCATTTGCTTATAATTATGTTATGTGTATATCACCTAATACACCACCATTAGGAGTAATTTCCTTTTGGTATGTGATAGGATTCTATCCATTGCTCCTCCTCCTCTTACTCTATGTTTGGATAACATTGTATGATAAAGGTTACAAGTGTGTAGTATTTATTACTAGACCACTTCATCGTTGCATGGCTCGTTTCTGGAGTATGACTGGCATTGAACCATCTTTTACTCACTCTATAGCATCAATATATATACTCTGCTTCACTCAACTAGCTGCCACTTCCTTTAAAATACTGAGTGTTGCTCCTAAAAATGAAACACTTGGTTTTAACAATACCAAATTCTATTATGATATGAAGCAGGATTACTTTAAGGGGGTTCATGGTGCTGCTGGTTTCTTTGCAATCTTAGTGTTATTGTTTCTGATTGTTCTACCAACACTTTATATACTCCTTTATCCATTCAAATGGTTTCATAAGTTATTGGATTGTTTACGTTTGAAAAAACCGCAGCTACTGATATCACTGGGCGATGTGTTTACTGGTCCTTATAAGAATGGAACTGAGAATACTCATGATTATCGTTTCATGGCTGGATTATACCTACTGACAAGAATAATCATTTTGGGTCAATTCATTTATGGATATTATTCCATCATTTTGATACCAGTTTTTCAAGCTTGCTGTTCCTTTTTACTAGCAGTAACAGTTATCATCTTTCGTCCCTTTCAAGAAAATATTCATAATTTTGCTGAATGTCTTATCTTGTTTGTAACTACAGTTTTTGTATGCACAAGCATTATTGAGTCTTTCCGTATCTTAAGCTCAGTTTATTCTGATGTTGGTGATATAATAGATACCATAATTGCAT